GTGAGGGGGTGTGCAAAGATGGAGGCCAGGCCCTTGGCTAGTTCCTCAAAGTCCACCCTCTTTCCACCCTTCAAGAAAAATAACACCCATTTAAAGAGCCCTGCTGGGAAGGGAAGTCTACAGATCTCTCTGTTGAATTGGTTCCAGTTCCAGGACCGGGATCTGTGTGTCAGTCTATTTGGGGCACCTTGGCGATATCTCCTGGGTTGGTGGGACATGGGCTGGGTCCACTTTTTCCATGTAGTTCCCTTGTGTGCTGGTTGGGATAAATGTATCAGCCTGAGAGTCAAGGGTATGCAGGCTCACAGGAATGCCCTAAAGGCTCCCTTATTGCTTTTCTGCTGTATCGCAAAGAACGCTGAACTGGAAGTTAGGAGACTTGGGTTCCCCTTCCAGCTCTGCTGCAGATTGGCTTTGTGACCTTGACCGAGTCCCTTCCTCTCTCAGTCCATCAGTTCCCCTGTATCTTTCTTAAAGGCAAGATCTACCTTGGATGGTCTTTAAGGAATCCTCTGGCTTAGATCTGACAGTTCTGTGACTAACCTAGCTATACTACGAAGCAAGTCTGAAGTCTTCTAGAGAATGGACAGGCTTCCCCCTCCTCTCATGGCTCAGCTGGTCTTACCATGTGCCACAACCAGTGGAGTGTCTCTTGGAGGCTGGGCTGGGGGTGGGGAAACCTTCTGCCTCAGGAAATCTGCCGAGAGACAGTTCTCTGCAACTCCCCCATGGTGAGGCAGCAGGCTAGGTTGCTGGGTTGTGATGGCTGGGCCCCAGGAGCAGCAGCTGCAGCTTGAGGGCTCAGCTGGGCTCTACTGCAGCGCACCTTTCTCTGAGTCTTGCTGTGGACCGCCCCAGTGGAGGCTGGGGGTCCAGGAGTGGGCTCACCTGCCCATGTACAGCTGCTGGGACTGCAGTGCCAGAGGACTGACCATGTGTACTTCGGGGCGCCACACTGGAAAGGGATGCAGGGTCCATTCAGAAGAGGGCTGTGGTCGGGTGGGGGCAGACGAAGACTGAATAGGGCATCATGATCCTCCAGCCTAACTGCTGGAGCCTTTTCTAGAGGGCAGACCTATAACGGAGGGAGCAGGCTTATTATATATGGCTTCAAGGAGCAGAACCTGGAACTTTGGGAACACTGGAGATAAAATCAGGAGAACTTTACAACCAGGCCCACAGTGATACAGGAGGTTGCTTCAAGGGTTAGGGTAGTAGCCCTGGTGGTAGGCTGTGGTAGGCTGGTAGGCTGGTTGGAGGTGTCCAGCAGAGGCCAGGTGAGGGTGTGGGACAGCTAGAGAAAGCATCATTTCAGAATCAGGTATAAAACCCTGATTGCTACCAGTGAAACGACCCAGGTCTTCCTCAATTCCAGGATTCCATTGGCCTGAGATTTTCCATCCTGCAGACATGGATCTTGGCTGGCTAGAAGCCCATTTGCTCTTCTACTAACCTTGTAGACCTACTACCTCTTGGTCCTTCCTTTTTTTGTGTACTTTCCAGGTTGCTAGTTGGATTTCCTTGCTTCACATTTCCTGCGAGATTAATAAATATGTTTAGGTAATACTTTGAATTCCTCTCCCAACCACATACTATTTGTACATCCATGGTTGTCTCTTTTGGTCCTCACAACAAGCACTGTGCAGCGAACATTAGCAACTCTGTTATCAGAGATGGAGAAACTGAGGCTCCAAGATGAAGGGACCTTGTTCAAGGTTAAGCTACTAGTTGCTAATGGAGCTTGGACTAAAACCCAAATCTCCTTGTCTCCAGGGTGTGTTATTTGTTCACTAGAGTTTTTCCAACCCTAGGAGTACCTTGGCCCCAGGACCCAGGTAGGAACTGAACTGGAAGCCTTAGAAATCTAGCGAGCTTGAGCAGATGTGCCTGTGATGAATAGAGGAGCCAACAAGGAGGAAAGAAGGCTGTCTCCCCCTTTTCCACTTTCTTCCTGGCTAAGCTTCAGAGGAATCTGGTACTGCAGTAGCCATTGCTGCTACTGCTGCTCCCGCAAGCGGCTCCCTTGCTAGGCCTGTTCTGGGTTTGTAAGGAGTGGGAGAGAAGGCTGCCAAAGCTGGGTAGGCAGGGTGGGAGTTCAGCAGCAGAGGCTGCAGCATTGGGGGAGGACAGGCAGAACTGGTACAGGCTGGGCTCCTGGTCCCCAAGCTCCCTCTGGTGGATGAAGAGGGGAAAGTGGGGCCCTGGGCCCAGTTGAAATTGGTTGAGGCCCACTCTGCCTAGCAACTTTCTTTAGCTCTTCCAATAACTCTACCCTGTGGATCAGTCACCACAATCCATATATTACAGCAGAAGAAACTTAGGGATTTGAGAAGTGAAGCCTATCGGGTCGTGGTACTAGTAAGACAGATTCCCAATCCTTCCCCTCCCTTGCATTGGACATCAGCTGTCATATTGGGCCCCATCCCTATCAGCTACCAAGGACTCCCACATCTTCCCACACTGTCTCTTTTGGACAGGTTCCAGGATGCCAGTATCCCTTCTGCTGTGCTCTGGGTGTGGCCTTCCTAGTGCGCCATGCAGCAAGATGAGTCCTTACCTCCCTATGGTCCTATGTCCGTGAGGATTTTGTTTTAGTAGGTGTTGGTCCTGACCAGTGCTCAGATTTTTTTTTTTACCCGGAATGGTCACCCTTCCCTATGATAGAGAAGAGCTCCACTTTTGTTGTTGATCTTGGCTTAGCTCTCCTGCAGTTCCAGTGCCTGGAATGATTTTATGAGTGCTAGGGGCCACTGTTGTGTGCCCCACAGGGAAGAGAGCTGCAGTCCACACACTTTTTGCATGGCCCCAGTTCTGGCTGTGCTGTAGGTGGTGGTGGGCTGAAGCTGGTATGGTGGTAACTCCCCATTCTTTGCCCTCACCCACCTTACAAAGCTGGCTCACATTTTAGGACAGCAACTAGAGGGACTGCCCTGGTGTTCATGAAAGCCAGGGCACCGTGTGGTGTACTGCACGGTTGCTTGGCTCTCTCCCTGTTGGGGGCAAGTGGTAGGTGACAGCACGCTCCCTGAAGGGGCTGAAGCCACTGAGAGAGAATAAGAGAGAGGGGAGAGCCCAGGAAGGGACTATGGGAAAGTCTGTCTCCTTTGGGGTCTCGGTCGTTTTCCCATGTGGTCTCTCCTTCCTTCCAAGAGGAAAATCATTTATCTCCTTTGCCCACACATTGTGAACATCATGCTTGTGTGGGAGAAATGATCATGTTGAGTTTAATAAGAATGAGAGGAGTCATGCTTCTCTGTTTACATATGGGGCAAGAATAGGGTCGTTGTCATCCACAAACATTTCTTGGCTGTGTGCTTAGCACAGGAGGGGCTACCAGGCTGAGCAAGCACCACGCCCTTGTTGCTTACAGAGCCGCTTCCACAGATACAGAGACAGGGTTGCAGGTCCGTCATGCTATAAGGATGGTATTCAGGACAAAATTAGTAGTGAGGGTGCTGAAGGGCAGAGGACAGAGGGATCAGGGAAGCCAGGCCACTGGTTGAAGATCTGGACAGCAGGAGAAGGGGCTTCAAAAACAAGGATGGGCGGTCTCCTAGTATTTCACGAAAGGGGTTGAGAGGAACACAGCATACCCAGCCTTGCCACTTGCTGCTTTCCTTCCTCTGTCTTACCCGCTACCTCTGAATTTGCTGGGAGCATAGTAAAGGCTTGGAACACGATGAAGTGGCCACATGGCTACTGAGTGGGTCTCAGCCTTCTGTGTACCAGGCACCGCCCTATGTGGCTTTATATAACAATATGCAACTTTTTCTGTTGCACTTACTTACTGTGTGCCAGGCACTGCTTTAAGCAATTTCCATATAGTGCTTCGCTTTGTCTTCACATGAAGCTTTTATTGTAAAGATTATTATAAACTCCATTTTACAGATGAGGAAACTGAGGCCCAGGAAGGCTGGATAACATAGAACTGTGAAGGAGTTGAAAGGAGCACAGGTGGTTGGGCTTCGGGGTCTGTGGTATTCCTTTACACCATGCTGTCACTCCTCTTCCTCCTTTTCTTTCTCTTCCTTGCCTCCTTCTTTGTGGTGTCGGGGATTGAACCCAAGGCCTTCACACTGAGCTATATCCCCACCCCTTTTTATTTTTTATTTTGAGGCAGGGTCTTACTAAGTCACTAAATTGCCCAGGTTGGGCTCAGACTTGAAACCCTCTTGCCTCAGCCTCCCAGAGTTCTAGGATTACAGGTGTATGCCACCATACCTGGCAGCAGTACGGCTTCTTATCTCACTTGTTGAGAATCCTTGCCAGGTGGGTGTGACTGATAAACTCATTTTGGGGGATGAGGATCAGATAGGAGTTGTAACCTTCCTGAGGTTACACAGCTGAGTGGAACCCAGAACGGTGTGGCTCCCAAGCCTGTGGTTACACACGTGGGGTTTTAAAGACATGGAAGCCACTCCAGGTGTGGCTCTGGTCTCCGCACTCCCCCAGCTCCCAGGACTACCACTTGAGGGAAGGCAGGTTCCCGCTCATGGTCACCTCTCAATCTTT